CCGCGTGTAAACGTGGAATCCGCGTGTGCTGCGCGCCGGAAAACCACGTGTAAACGCGGAATAACCGTGTTTTTTTATTAATGCCCTAGCAAAATCTTGAAAAATCTAAAAAATCTAAAAAATCTGAAAAAATCTAAAAAATCTGGAAAATTCTAAAAAATCTAGAAAAATCTAAAAAATCTAGAAAAATCTAAACATTCTAGAAAATTTCTAAAACATCTGGAAAAATCTAAAAAATTTAGAGAATTTAAAAAATCTGGAAAAATCTTGAATTTTTTTACAGGATTTCCCTAAAATTTACAAGATTTCCCATCTGGGAAATCATGTCAGGGATGATGTGATATCAGCACACTTTTCTATATGATTTCTAAAATACCCTGCAAAACCAAGGAATGATTGCATCTCTTTCCTATTTTGAGGCATTGGTTTTAACAACGGTGGGCCTGTCAGCCTTAGAGCCAGCCAAGCTGGCCAAAAGACTGCCTAAATCCCCCACGTCCATTCAAAATATTATCATATCTTTTTTACCTGAAGACTTTTAGCTTTTCTGACTTCAGAATTAGATTCCTGGTGTAAAATTAACCCTAGTCACCACTGACCACTTTTACACTACTCCAATCCTTCACTGACTTTGTAATATTTCAGAGTACTTATGAAATATCCACGTACCTTGAGCTTCAGCTCCTTCTACCACATTTACATGTAATGATTATGTCATCCAACTTTGAAAATCCTCTCTGAGCTTGTTGATTCCGCTTCCAGAGGATTTTCAGACTCCAGACCACCCAGAAACCACAACAACCAGTACCAGATCCAGCTCACACTTATCAACCAGAAGAACCTTACTTTTCCTGCCTTTCCCACTACTCAGTGTCATTGGTGTCATCAGTAAGTTACTTCTTTAAGTCCAGCTAGCATCTTTCTGCTTGTTTTCTTTCTCAGTCTCTCTCACCTCTTTCTCTTCCTTCTCTAAACCAAAAGCCCTGATCAACCAAAGCTCCACTAGCTTCAAAGATTCTTCTCTTTTATTGTTTGGTAGTAAAACTGAAAACTACATAGGTTTCCCTTTAAAGAACCTTGATCATCCTTGATCTAAAAAATTGTGGTTGATCTGATTTATCAGAATCAATAACCCATTTCAGTTTCTGTTGATTTGGAGGCGTCAGAGTTAGCTCCGCTTATAACAGCTATCCTACTAAGGAAAATAAGACTGTCAGCAGCCATCCCAAAGAGGACAGTAAGACTGCCAGAATTTTATCATCTTCTTAAAATAAATAAAGAACAAAAAATATTTCTTTTTATTTCATTCCTCTTCTCCCTTTTCTCTTACTTTTATTTGTATTCCTCTTCTTATAAGAAATACATATAAAAGTGCCCCCCAAAACCTTGTGTCCTGCTGTCACTATTGAGACCCAGGCTCACAATTGGGGGCCTCATCGGGAAATTCTATTCCATAGACCTCTTATAATCATACTTTAAATCTAATTCATCAGGCCAATAAAGAAACAATCAAGCTCCTTTTTTTCTCACCTTACATCGCGAAGCGCTTGCCAAATTATCATTTGGTTTCATCTTGATATAAAGACAAAATAGCAACATTAGATTCTGTTCTATACCTTTTTTTACTAAAACACTCCAAAATCAATCCACAAAAGTGAAGGAAAGCCATCGGGGTATCACATTTGCCCTGGATGTTAAAATACAGCCAATGGATTGTACTATCCCCCTGGCCCACAACTTCAGCAGCCATGTCGTGGGCTATGGCTCGCTCTTCCTTCAAATCCAAAGCAATCAAACATCACTCATTTCCGACAAACTCTTGACAACTTATCTGAAGATTCTCAATTTTGTTGAGCTTTGATCAGGTTTGATCAACTCCTGATTCAAAGCTCGCCTTCAACTTTGAGGCAAATCCACAAGAATTAGTTTTGCTGGTATTGAAAACGCAGACTGCCAGTTTGATGAGACTACTTGGATGGTCATGCTCTTGTCTCAATTACCTCGTAATATAACTGATTTGACCATCAATCGGAATGATCATGAAGAGAACGTCACTCAACTACAATGATCCTTGATCTCCACTCGTAACCAGTTATTCAAGAAACTTATCCCCTTTTTCTTCTCACTTTCCATCGCGAAGCGATCACCAATTTCTCATTTCATATCTTCACACAAAAATTGAGATAGGAATCTTCTTCTCATTCACTTTCACCTACAACTTCGTGTTATTCTGTGAAAGGGAAGACTAGACAAAGCATCATACCCGACTCTCCTACAGAACCTCTGCACCCTCTGTCATCACCGATCCCTTCAGCTAATTCTGCACTTGATCCTCTGAAATCCATTTCTTACCGCTTCATTGATTCTCTTGCTTGTGATCAAGCACCAGTAAAAGAAATTGCCATCTATTTTAAGACACATAACCATTCAAATAAGTAACAATTCAATCGGAATCCAAGAGACCTTGTTAACAATTATCCGATATCTTTTCCGAAAGCCTGAACCAACGTTCTTCCATCTATTTTTGATTGTCATTCAAGTGAAAGACATGATTGACCGCTTTCTCCAAGCTCATACACTTCTCACTGATGATGTCGTCATACCAGGATTGTCTAGAAACCCAGATTGCTTTCAACCAAATTTGAAATCACTCCTCTCCATCACAAGTATGAAGCGATACCGAGATTTTCGACTTGGATTTTTGTGTTTGACATCACTGCGTAAAAGAAACCTGATTAGTTTGACCGAGTGGACCCCAATAGCCACTCCCGATCCCATCAAAACAAAAATTAAAAAAAGAGAACCAAAGAAAAACTCATATTGTTTTTGAATTCAAAGTTCTGAATCGATATACCTCTAAATCATTATTTTAATTCTACAGCTTAGATATTGATTGATACCATATTTGAAGTTGCTCAAAGGGAAAACTATTTTTTTCAATGTTTTCTTTGTATCTTGCAACAGCAGAATCTGCCTCGCATTTCTGCACTAGTCGGACTTGAGTAACACTACAGCTCCTTACTCTAACTCTCCCCAGCCAAACTCAATCATTGAACGAGCGATGTGAAAATTTTTCACTAAGGCTAGGTCTTTGATGATTCACAGTTGAATGCCAAACTGTTTCTGGAGTCTAGTGTATCAATTGGCAGTACTGATTCAAAATTGGACCTATGTATACGAAATCCCTCAAGGACTGCAATCTTATCAATCGTTTTGTACCGGTGCTGTTTTGAGAAAGTGCCAAGGGAAACTGTGGTCATTTTTCAAGGTGTCCAAGTCTTCCGAATAAAAATTTAATACAACACTTCATCTCATGTACCAAGACCTTAAGTACAAGACACTTGTTCCAATCATTCCACCTTGCACTTTACAAATTGAAGATACCATACAATCATCGGTTTCATTGTTTTAACACACTCATGATAATATTCTTAAACAATCTTGCCTGAATAGTTAGAGACCATAACTTCAAGATCTCTCTGGTATCCTAAATAGAAGGTACAATTGTATTGCTTCCAATCAATCAAAAGCAAGGTGAAACTATAGCTATGTATTAGCCTTTTTCTAAATCAAAACTTCATCCTTGCCTTGATCGCTTCTAGAAATCATATTGTTTGATCCAACATCTGCTAGGTTTCAACTTACACCCAGAGG